TTTAAATCATTTAAATATTCCCGGGGTAAAATTGTCTTTTACTTGAATAAATTAATAATTAAATATTAATTTAGGATCGGGTTATTACAATGGGTCTTGCGGTAGCCACTGAATGATTGAGAAACATTTGGCTATGATTTAGCAGTTGAAGGGAAACACACACACAGAGAGAGAGAGAGAGAGAGAGAGAGAGAGAGAGAGAGAGTAGAAGGCAACCAAGGCAGGGCGGTGTGAGGGTAGGCGACTGTTAGGGTCGTCGATTGTCTTCACCCGTTTTGATTTGTCTCCTGTGATGGTAGGGTAAAGTTCCTCATTGGCTTGAAAACCATTGGTGGTCAACAAGTCAACTTTCTTTTGTATGAGCGTGCCACTGCGAGTGGTTAAAACCTTAGCAGACTTCTAAAAAATAGATAACTTGCGCCCCAAGTTATTGATTCTAAACAAGCAATTGTGAATTTGGGTAAGGAATATCTCCCAAGTAAGTTCTTTTTCTTGCCTCAGACTCGTGAGGACTTCATAATTTTTCACAGTACAAAACTGGCAGTTCTACCCAAAATAAAGGCTTGGAAAATAAGTTAAACTATTTGGAATAGAAGCTAACTATTGAGCAATAAACAAGGAAAAGCTGCCAAGTCTGGAAAGACAGAACATTAGACTTTGACTTCTGTCTGTTTTGGTGAAGCAGGTTGGACTGGATACATCTATACTGGGATTGCACGTCGGTATCTTCAACTGATGATGTTCAGCTGTAAATTGATACCAATGTCGAGATTGGCAGAGCTTTAATCTGTTCTGGCCATGGAGAGGCTTGCTGGGTAGACAGAATTGATATTTCTTCAGTCAAGATTGGGCTGGAAATGGTTGGATTGACGATTGATGATCTGGAATTGCCACACAATATCTGCTGTACTTGATTATGAATTAATCAAGAACAATTTTGGTGATTTTGAGCATTATGAACATCCCTGAAATTTGTTGAGGTTTTCATATTATAAAAACCCGAACTCTGCTCGATTTGGCTTAGGCTGAACCAAATTTGTAATAAGAGAATATTGTTTCCTTTGTGAGAATGTTTCTCCGAATTGGAATTAACCAAGTTCTGGTTGTTTGGTTTGATTGCTTCAGAATCTGAAGGCCTTTAAGGTTTAAATGACTTTGTTCTTTCGAATTTGTCAATATGGGTTGAGAGTTTTTGTCTTGATTGATTTTTTTGGCTGTCCTTGAATCCGTCCACCTCCTCTCATATTTATAGAGAACTTTAGAATGAGGGTTTTCATTTTAATCCTTTAAAACTGGGCGGCAGATCTTTCAAAAAGATTTTCTTTTTCTAATGCCATAAAAAGGGGGAGTTATTATTCTGGCATAGCAAAAACGATCAACAGTCAGCCTCTATGATGGTCTTTTCCTAGCTTTTTTTGGCAAACAACTCTTTTGTCTCCTGCTTTTTTCTTTGAGAAACACATCATGTTCCAATCTGTTTTAATGTAGAGCCCTTTGTGGGTGTAGAAGGGCAACTTGGCTATCCTTTCCTTCTTGTCATTTTACATGGTTTATGGGGAGTGCTTTTTGGTTTAACCAGTTCTCATTAACTCCCCATCACCTTATCTGCCTTCAGTTGAAATTTTTGACTTTTCAAAGTCACATGGTCTTTTTATGAAAAAAGATCTTTTCAAAATATCTGTAGACTTGAGTTTTGAGATCAACGGTGGTGGTCAAGCTCCCTGGTTTTTTTTATAGAAAAATATTTCGAAACTTTGAGCTTTCAAGAAGAATTTTTATCAAACGGCCTGCTTGGATTCAAATTACCATTTAAATGGTAATTTAAATCTTGGTGAACTCGATCTTTTGATTTTCAAAGGTTTTGGGCTTATAAAACTGTCTAGGCTTGATCTCTATCTTCAATAAAGCCCAACAAACTTCTGTTTTTGTCATGGGTCAATTTCGATTGGGCTTGCGTGTGGGATTTAGGCCCAAACAGATTGCTTGTCGCTCTTTTTTTTCTTTGATTTTTTTAATTTTATTAATTTTGTTTTAAATGGTGAAAATTAGGTTCCAATTCTAGTTGAATAAAGTGTGAGTTGTTTAAAAATATGTCACATGACATAATTTAAATGGAAGTATCACTAGCTGACGTGGTGATGCCTACTTTTATAAAATTTCTCCAAGCATCGCCTTCATTCTTCTTCTTCCAATCCACTTTTCTCTTTGTTGT